TTAAATTTATCTCCAACACAAATCTAAGGAGTAACACACAGAAACTAGAGACACAACACAACAGAACGGACTGTAGACACACCTTCTACTCCTTCACAGTAGTCAGATATTTTCATTGGCTTCTGACCAAGCTAGTCTAGTCGACTTCCCCGAAGTCATTTAAGACGATACATTATATATTTTTAGGTTTTTTAAGGACAGTATCTCACTATGATTTACCAACTTATTTTCGTTTTCCTCTTTTATCAATAATGTACCTTGTTCCGTTTCTAGAGGTACCTGTGATCCATTACTACTAGACACGGAGGCCCATTATGCGAAACTTCTATTCTGTCCGGAACCATTTGAACCATTTAACCATTTGAATCAACCAATTGTAATAGAGATATTTGCACACAATCGAACGGGAAGTTTAGTCCTAACGTGATTTGCATTTATAAAACTTTTGCTGTGTTCTTACGCAACAAAAGTACCATTTCAGTTCTAAAGAATCTATCCTGAGCTATACGTTCGGTAGATGACTTTTTTTGAGTTTCACTATATTTAATAGTTACCTGTGGTTTTGCCTCAGCTTACTATTCGGTTTTTTTTGTTTTTCACGTATAGATTAGTTTCAGTTTATATCACTCGTTTTGTCCATTTTTGTCCGTTTTCAGTGTGCTTTTTAGTGTATTTTAAAAGGTCCTAGGCTCTTGCAAGCATCTATAACATAATTTGCTTCAACACCGTCATGAAATACTCATGCAAACGTCCGGGATGCCGTTTTGCTGTCACAACTGGCATGCAGTGCGACAACTGCAAAGGTTGGTTCCACGAAGCATGCACAGATCTGACAGCAACTGCTTACAAGAGACTCAGCAAGTCAGAGCAAAAGTGGGTGTATGTCACGTGCAACACAGACTCCGTAGTCTTGCTGAGTAACATCATTGTCCTACTGACAGGTCTTCGGAACAAGTTGTCAGTTAACTTGGAAAACGATAGTAAAAAAACTGATATACAAACAAGAGCGTGCAACGGACTCAAAAACAGGGATGCCGATAGGTATTCTATCGATGGAGCATCCATCAACACTAACGACGACGTGTCGAGGCTCAGTACCATCATTACGTCGACGGTACTGAACTCCATAGGCAAACTCGGGTCTCCCAGCTCAGGGTCCCCGAACACAACAGTGGTTGCCAAAAACCCTGCAGGTGATTCGACCCACGTTAAGAGAGCCCAAAAGAACCAGGCATCACCGCCTAAGCCGAGCAACCCAAGTGTTGCTGCACGGAAAATAACTGGTGATTTAGTCGCACAGTCTACCCCCAAGACTGTTCGTCCGGTCAATAAAGAGCCCATGATTCATAAACGCACACTGACCTCCAAACAACAAGTTATTAAACCTGAACCCATCGTGAAACCTGGTAAATTAACAACAGTTCGTGACGATTCTCTCATTATCATGAACCTCGTCGACAATCCTGATCTTCCTCTCAGTCTGCAGGACAAAAACGACAGGATGCTCTCGGGTGAATTGAACAAGAAGCTCGAACTTCCTAGAATAGAGCCTTTGACGGTCACCCGGCTCACTCGAGGAAATGATTCTAAGCATCTAAATCACCCGAGGCTTCTCCGAGTAACACTTAAGGATGCTACCGACGTAGAGGACGTCTTGCTAGCAAGTCACTTACTGAAATCAGATGGTAACGTAAGAATATTGCCCGACATACCGTACTCTGAGCGCAATATCATACGAAACGTCCCTAAAGAATCTCGCGAGAAGTTTTTCCGCGGAAGAAACATAATTGTCCAAGGTATACTGGAAAATGCAGACCCTACTCAATCAAATTCTGACATCAGGGAATGGAAATTCATCAAACAGTCCTTGAGGCTCAAACACACACTGACTCAGCATGTGACGAGACTAGCCAAGAAGGACGGTGATCTTAGACCCCGTCTAATGAAGATAACCTTCCCATCTTCCCACATGGCGGCTGCAGTTCTGGAAGCATTTCGTGCTAATAGACGTCGATTGCCACCTGGAATCCACATGCACCCGGATAGGCCATACGAAGTTAGGACCAAGAACAAAGGCAAGTTGGAGCTGACCATTCCACTTGTGGACTGTCTAAACGATAAAAAACGTGTAAAGGACAGGGCCTACCACCTCGGCAAACCTCACATAGGTGGGCTACCTGTCCATTCACATAAGGTTCATACAGAAAAACAGGACGAAGCTCACGCGTTCCAAATTGAAAGCATAAACTGCTTATATATGAACGCCGCTAGTCTACCAAACAAACTGGATGAACTACGTGAACTTAGCAAAGCTAATAAGGCCCATCTGATAGGAATATCTGAAACCTGGATATCTTCTCAGTTCTCGGACCAAGAGTTAGCATTGCCTGGGATGACTTTGTTCCGCAACGACAGAAAAACAGGAATTGGGGGCGGAGTAGCCATATACATAAGCTCTTGCTTGGAGGTGCACTAGGTTCACAACCTCGAGTTTAACAATCTTGAGGAATCCATATGGTGCTCTGTAAGATTGTCTAGTACTTCCAGGTGTCTAGTCGGAGTCATTTACAGGAAGCCAACTGCCGACACCGAGTACGATAGTCATATGCTGGAAGGACTATCCCGCTCTATCCGTCTCGGTTTCACACACATCCTGATTCTAGGGGACTTTAATCTCCCTAGAGTCAACTTCGCGGAACACACGTACACTGGAGGCGACAACTCAACTGAAGCTCGGTTCTTCAACCTCATCGATAACTTGGGCTTATATGAAAATGTGAGGTCGGCAACTCGTTGGAGAAACAGTCAGACACCATCGCGCTTAGACTGTGTATTCACTAACGAAGAATTCCTAGTCGACAACCTCTCAATCCTGGCTCCTCTGGGAAAAAGCGATCATGCCGTCATAGCTTTCAGTTATGTCATCAAAACTAAGCTAAGGTATCCCAACAATAATTTGCGTTGGAATTTTAAACGGCTGAAGGTGCCAGCTCTACATGACTATCTACAACAGGTGGTTTGGGATGTTCACCCTCAAATCGATGTGGATGGTCATTGGGACTTCTTACTGCACACGCTCTTATGTGCTACAGACCATTCAGTTCCTCAAACGGTTCCCAAAAGCTTCAAGCCACCTACAGTAATCAAAAACCGTAACCTTCGCCTCCTAAGCCGCAAACGGCACTGTTGGGCGGAATACAAACGAACTAATAACGATGGAGCGTATAGGCAATACAAACATATCAGGAATACATGCACGAAGGCTATAAGAGAAGACAGACTTCAGTACCAAACAAAGCTTATGGACAAATTCGCCTCTAACCCTAGAAGCCTATTCCGTTATGCAGCCTCTCTTCGTCAAGCCAAAACAGGAGTTTCTCAACTGCTAGGTCTTAACGGCCCGACCAACAACGATGGCGACGCCGCTAACCTTCTGGCGGCCCATTACTCTCAAACATTTCAACCGGCTGACATCAACTTTATTGACGACAGTTTCATCTCCAACTCCACAGGACTTTCTGAAGTGGACCTAAGCGCTGACTTGGTGTTCCGGAAATTGCAGCACTTAAGACTTGACACTTCTCCTGGCCCGGACATGGTTCATCCTGCCATACTGAGGGAGGCAGCCTCAATCCTGGCAACGCCGCTTAGCGTGATGTTTTCACACTCGCTTAGCCGAGGCAAATTACCGGAAAACTGGAAGTTGGCTCACATCACACCAATTTTCAAAGGTGGTCGACGCAATGAACCTTCAAGTTGTCGGCCGGTGGCTCTTCTGTCATTACCTTCAAAACTCATGGAGTCCCTGGTATGCGACGGTTTAAATGACTATCTACTGTCCTTGAATTTCTTCTCACCCCAACAGCATGGTTTCAGGAAGGGTTACTCTTGTATAACCAACCTGCTGACTGCGGTGGACAAATGGACAAGCATCCTCGATTGCAAGGGAAAGGTTGACGTCATTTACCTTGATTTCTCAAAAGCTTTTGATAAGGTCAACCACTTGTGTCTTATCAACAAGCTCAAACGACTAGGTATCAAACCACCTCTAATCGATTGGCTTACTTCATACCTAAAAAATCGACACTTTAAGGTTAGGGTTAATTTCACTTTATCTCAGGCTATGGAATGTCCTAGTGGGGTGCCCCAGGGCTCAGTACTAGGGCCTCTTCTCTTCTTGATCTACATAAATGATCTTCCTCAACAGGTAACGTCAGACTTATTACTTTTTGCCGACGACGTGAAACTTTGGAGAGAGATACGCAACCAAGACGATACACAGGCACTTCAGGAGGATCTGACGCGACTTCAAAGTTGGGCAGACGATAACGGACTTACCTTTAACACTTCTAAGTGTAAAGTAGTCCATCTGCGACATGTTGCAGACTACAGTTATAACTTAGGTAACTCCTCTATAGTAGTATCCCAAGTCGAAAAATATTTAAGAGTCTTGGTGCCCTACGATTTAAAGTCTTACGCTGATTGTGACAAAAATGCCTTCCGAGCAAACATTGCACTGGTAACATTGAAGCGCATTTTTGGCCAGGTTGACGGAAGAACTTTCCATGTAATCTTCAATAGTTTATCCATCCCCATTTAGAGTACAGAAAAATAGTATTTCCTCTCTCACTCCAAAATGATAAGGACACCCTGGAACGTATCCAACGGCGAGCCACGAAATCAGTTTGAGGACTCAAATTTAAACCTTATGGAGAGCGCCTCCAATCACTTAAACTTTACCCATTAGAGTATAGGCGTCTTAGAGGTGATTTATTAATGGCTTGTAGTATTCTCAACACTTCTGGACATCCTCTTAAACACCTACTTAAGCTTAGTTCGAACAATAACCTAAGGGGTAACACCCAGAAACTGGAAACACAACATAGCAAGACGGAATGTAGACACAACTTCTACTCCTTAAGAGCTGTCAAAAGCTGGAATTCGCTGCCGGCCGAGCTAGTCCAAGCGACTTCTCAGGAGTCCTTCAAGAGGCAACTTGACCTATTCTTAAGGACCAAGGACAGCATCACATTATGATTTACCAATTTCTTTTCCTTTTTTATTGTTAACATACCTAGGTTCCTGCCTGGAGGATTTGGTGATCCCCTGCTACTAGACACGGAAGCCTGTTAAGCGAAAGCTTCTTCTATTCCGTCCACAACCATTTGAACCATTTGAATCCGCGGTAGTTACGAAAATTTTTGATTCCTGGGCGTATAGCTATTGTTTGCTAGATATGCGTTCTACACTGTTATGTTTCATTGTATGTTTGTCTGGTTTTGTAGCGCTTGCTAGAAAAGAAATCAATGAACCTGCCACAGCTAACCCTATTACTTTTAGTGTAGATGGTTGCTTGCTATTATCAGCTATCATGAAGATTCACATATCAAAATCAGTAAGTTCCCCTGTCTTGTTTTGTTGTCATCGTATATGGTTCTTAAAAACCGTATGAATTCATACTAATACTTTTTTCGATGTCGGTGGTTTTACTGTGACCAGGAGCTTTTTAGTTCTTTTGGGGAAGATTATTAACTCCACTCTGTTAAAACGGTAATATGCAGAACTCTCCGTTTTCAAACTCGTGTGGATATGTGCGTTTCTCTACTCATTCTGGGTTTCTGTGGGGTTCCATAAATGCTCTGCTGATCCAAGCGAACAAAAGGGAAATAAAGGCTGATTTTGGATAGAATCCTTAACAGGAGTCAGTGTAGATTCAGGCGAAAATGTATCAGCATGTCACCTTTCTCCATAGCTCAGGGTTAGTAGTGTGATTTCTCCCGAAATTTTCCCGCTAAATGTCTACGTTTCCTAGAAATTTCACAGGTTGAAATCATCAGTCGATTGAAGCTAGACCACCATGGAAAACCTGGAAGCACTGGACGGCCGTTTCGTCCTAGTACGGGACTCCTCAACAGTGCGCATCCACGGTCCCGCACCACGCTGGGCTCGAACCCAGGACCTACTGGCTTCGCGCCGTTGGATGCCGGCTCAGTGGTCTAGTGGTTAAGTGCTAATTATCTGATCTTTCACAGTATCAACAAGTGAAATAGGTAGTTTTCAGCGAAAGGCAACGTCCTAGTTTACTGTGTACTTCGGAAGTCAACATCTAATTCCCTATGTCAAACAAATTATATGCGCGTTCGACAGTAATCAGCATAGTGAGTTTAGTGAGGACAATTCATTAACGATTTTCACATATATAGTTGTCAAGATCATTTACATAGAGGGAACAGCAAAATGCCCGCATTGAAATGACAGAAAAAGTTGTTTTCAACCGTAATCTAAAAAATTCGTGAGAGGTTCATATATAAAGAAAACCTCTTAAATACTCAGATACTCATGCACACCAACGTTTACCCGCTACATCTAGTTATTTTTGACGTACTCGATCCATATGAAAAGCTTAGTACGGGTTTAAAGGATATTTAGCAAAAAAATATTTGCACTAAATGTAACTTGCACAATAAAAGTGCTTTCGGTGGTAAGCAGCGTTTTCATTACTTGAATCGTAAAACAAAACCGGAATTAACAATTATGGATATTTTTGTAAAATGTTTATATTGAAATTTATTATCGAACATGGTATTGCAAACAGATGACGGCACCTACAAACGAAAGAGCGTGTTCACGGCCTAAATCACATCTACATTATCTTTCGATAATAACGCTTGTTCACTTTATCCCTCGTATCATGAAAGAACCTTTGGGTAGCCACATCGTTTACGTTTGCAAATTCTTTCTCGCTGACGTTGAACGATAGAAATTGTGATGTTAACACATCTTTTAAATAACGTAAACTAGAATGTAGTCTTGCTTCGTATAGCATTATGGAATAAGTACTTCGTAGTGCTCCTTTCTGTAGCAGCACTCATCAACGTAAAGTTCATTACCGATTCCGGCTTGATCAGGTATGATAATACAGACCTGAGAGACGTTTTCGGATCGCGATCCATCAGCCTAGTAATCATCGCCATCTAAATAGTAAATAAACTAAACTAAATCTGCCTACTTACAAATTTATCCCTTGTTGCTTCTTGCTAAATAAACATGTCTAAAGCTTGCGATTCGTCTTCAGTTGACAAAGGGGAATTTAAGCCAGCTAGTCCCCCGCTAAATTGTTTTGACTGATGTTCTGTTGTTGGTGTTTGCAACAATAGCATCATTTGGCTCACAACCTCAACCGACAGTTTTTTTTATTTTTACATTTGTTTTTGATAATCTACAAGACTTAAGAATATTTCAAATATAACTTACCATAGTTTGCAATGTTATTAGGTGTTGAGATACTGACTGACGGCGAATGCTTTACTTCGGTTGAACTAATTCATACACAGTTATGCATATAACAGATTTACTTGACAATTGGAGAAGTTGATGTATCGAACAGCCTAACTTGGGGATACTCCATACAACCGTACCCAGCTTGCATTTTCGCGACATCCAAGTCGACAGAGTCATACAAGTAATCTGGCTGGCGTTTAATTACTCCTGTAGAAAATCAGAAACAATAACTAATTTACCGTCTGGGCTTTTCTGTGTGCATTGGTGCGGTGTTCCCATCCTGCGAGTGACAATATACAACTTGGTGGACGGGTTGACCAAGTCTAAAGCACAACTGAAATCATCTGCAAGGGAATAATTAATGTTTGCAGCTAACCAAAGTAGTGAGAAGGCGCACATTTTACAGTGGACTAACTGTCGTCCGAATGCATGTTGTTTCTTAACGCCATGTCCACTAAGGTTGTTGGATAAATGTAGGGGTTTTCAGTGTGTAATGTTATTCGGTAGTTTCTTTCATTTGACATTTTTAATATCCGTTTGGATTCAGGTTGCGTCTCCGTCAATTATTTTACCACCATGTCGTCTTTATACATGTTCTATATCAAGTATTTTAAGTGTCTAATTGATTGCTCATGTAATGCTGTTTTAGGACGCTGTTAAGCAATCAGAATCAGTGTTTACAACCTACATTAATTCAACAAATGCTAAAAGCATCAACTCCAGCGGCGCATGCATCAATTCCACTAGCAAAGAATACAACCTCTTAAACTTGGGTTGGAAGCCGAATGGTTCTGAGGGCAATTGGAATATATCATTTAATTTCTCTGAGACCCATCCTGGTTATTATGGTTTAACTAATGTATACTTATTGTACTGGCTGGATAAATCGGGTCAGTTTATTGTCTAGTTTTCTTATGACATTTCGTTTTATGAACTAAAATTTTTTCAGTAGTAGATTATAAATTTTATAATCCCATGTCACTGATCGCAATCATTGGTCGTCCCAATATATAAGAGAGGGTTAAAATCATCCTGTAACAACCATAGACGGATTACTTCAGCTAATATAGCTTCTAATATACTAGCCTCGATAATTATCGGACGCCTAACAAGGACTCGTGAACTGCAAACACGAGAGAATCGGACTGGCTTCAGACTTGGTCACGGCTGCATCGACCACATACTCACCATTCTTCAGGGTCTAGAACACAGGCATACTTGTCGGCGTTCGACAATGGTGGTCTTTCTTGACTTAAAAGCAGCATTTGACTCGGTAGACCGCGAGATTCTGTGGCAGTGTCTGTCATTGGAAGGCGTACCTCAGAAGTACGTAGACATTGTGAAGGCTCTTTACTCGGAAACTACCAGTTGAGTCAGAGCTTATGGTGAACTGTCATCTGATTTTGCAACCTCAAGTGGTGTTCGGTATGGCTGTCCATTATCTCCATTTTCGTTCAACTTCATCATTGACATAGTGATAAAAACAGCGTTCTCATCGACTGCATTTTCGGGCATTGATCTCCCAGCAGGAGGTCCACTTATCGACTTAGAATACTCAGATGACATAGTTCTGTTTGGTTAAGACGCTGATAAAATGAAGTCTTTTGGTAGCACAAAGAAACAATGCCAGAATGTTTGGGATGCGCTTCTCTCCCTCTAAATGCAAGTTGTTGCTTCAGGACTGGTCTGCGTCAATATCGGAACTAAGGATAGAGAGCGAAGTAGTCAAACGCGTTGACAACTTCACTTATCTTGGAAGTCTGATCAGCGCTAATGGGTTGGTGTCTGACGAAATCTCAGCACGGATTCGAAAAGCTCGCCTGGCTTTTGCCAACTTACGTCACCTATGGCGAAGGCGAGATATCCGTCTATCAATTAAGGGACGGGCATACTGTGCGGCAGTCCGTTCTGTTCTACTTTGCGGTTGCGAAACGTGACCATTAAGATTAGAAGATACTCGTAGGCCACTAGTATTTGACCACAGATGTCTTAGAAATCTCGCTCCCATCTGCGGGGATCACTGGGTAAGTAATAGTGAGGTTAGACGCAGGGTATTAGGGAATGATGGTAAATCAGTTGATGAGATTGTGAATCTTCATCGACTGAGATGGTTGGGCCACGTGTTACGCATGTCCGAACACCGATTACCACAACGTGCAATGCTAGCCGGTGTTGGAGATGGTTGGAAGAAAGTTAGGGGCGACCAAACCAAAACGTAGAATCAGTGCTTGAGGACACTGACTTCTAGTCTGAGCCATGTTGGTAAATGCAGACTACTTGGTTGGTGTCCGCGTGACTATCGTAACCAATGGTTGGAGACTCTTGGTGACACGACTCAGAACCGATCACAATGGCGTCGGTGTATACACTCTCTGCCTTCCCTTAAACTAAGATTAAAATCGCTTCATATCTTTCTTTCTACGAACTAATTCTTTCTTCCTGTACTATATCCTTATTGCAACCTTTTATATATTACAACCATTGACTTAACTACTCCTATGAATCCGGTGTTCATCTTGTTGTGCTAATACGATGTGGTAACTTGGACCGATGCATATATATGCCTGGCCCTACGTTCTTGCTGACTGACTATAAATATTGTACACATTTATATTATCAATTAAGTGGTCTCTAGTGTTTGTTACTACGTTTGTGTGCTAAAGATGCATCAAATGCATATTTTCATTTGATCTACAAACTCACAACGTTCTAGTTTGTACAGAGATGAGTTTTTATCTATCGTTTCCTTGTAGCTTAAAATTGTTTCATAAAAGAATATCATTCTGTATCTGTCCATTAACGTATTTTTCGGTTATCTTAGCAGAGACATCAAATTATATATTTTTCTTCACTTGCTGCCTTATAGTAAATAGTTTCCATTCATGCTTTTCAATAATGTTCTGCTTTATACCACAAGTTCGTGTATTCATGTCATAGCTGGTAGCATCTGTTTGACAGTCTGCTATATCAAACCAGCACAAATAAAGCATCAGCCTGTTTTCTGGACCACATTACAGTCGTAGGTCTTACTTACTCTTGTTACTCCCAATGAAGCATAGGTCGCCAACCAGCAGTCTTCAACCCACTCTGTTCTGGGTTTTCATTTCTAGTTCCATCCAATTGTTTATTCCTTTCATCTCTGTCTCTGTTTCTCGGCGTAATGTGTTCTTTGACCTTGAGGATTCCAAGCGAGGGCTTGTCTTGTGACGCAGTTGGGTGCTTTCCTCAATGTGTGTCCTATCCACCTCCAGCGATTCTTCTTGATTTCTTCCTCCGATGGGATGTGGTTTGTTCTCTCCCACAGTAGGTTGTTGCTGATAGTGTCTGGCCAATGGATCCGAAGTGTTTTACGTAGACAGCTGTTAGTAAACACTTGTGTTTTCTGGATGATGGGTTTCGTAGTTCCCCAGGTTTCCACTCCATACAGTGGAACTGTCTTGACATTTGTATTAAAAATTCTGACTTTGGTGTTGGTTGACAGACAGTTGTTTTGAGTTCCAGATGGTCTTCATTTGTAAATATGCTGCTCTTGCTCTGCCGATCCGATCCGTGCATTCACATCTGCATCAGATCCACCGTGTTCATCAATGATGCTGCTCAGATATGTGAAAGTTTTTACATCTTCCAAATCTTCCCCATCAAGTGTGATTAGCTTGTTGGATGCTGTGTTGTATCGGAGAATCTTGCTTTTGCCTTTGTTTATGTTGAGACCTACTGTTGCTGCTGCTACACTGGTGGTCTTCTGCATTTTTTGTCGCGTGTGCGATAGAAGAGGCATATCATCTGTGAAGTCTAGATCGTGCACCTGCATCCTAGCTGTCCACTGTATCTCATGCTTTTCCCCAGATGTTGTGGTCTTCATGATGCAGTCGATCACCAGGAGAAAGCGAAAGAGTGGTAGTAAGTAAGCCTGCCTGACACTGGTCTTTACTTCGAACGAGTCTGTCAGCTGTCCCTCATGCACCATTTTGCAGCTTAATATATCATATGAATTCCGTATGATATTGACTATTTTCTTAGGCATGCCGTAATGTTGAAGAAGCTTCCATAGTGTTGTCCTGTCCACGCTATCAAATGCTTTCTCGTAGTCAATGAAGTTGATGTAGAGTGATGAATTCCATCCAATTGATTGTTCCACAATGATCCGTAGAGTTGCGATTTGGTCTGTATACGATCGATCCTTACGGAATCCCGTCTGTTGGTCTCGAAGTTGGGCGTCTACGGAGTCAGTTGTAGGTCTTAGCTAAGTGTCTTAAAGGTATTTAAGCAATTTACGACGCTGATCATATTTCTTGCTAGTCTTTATGTCTAGTGTTTTGAAGTGTATTAAAACTACATCATCTTTACGGTAACCATTGGTTTAATGGCTGAAGTACTACTGACTAAAACATTATTGAATGGTATTAGCACTACTTAGTAGACATTTATGTAAATGTATCCTGTTTTAAAATGCGATTGTTCTCCACAAATGAAAATTACTGGTGGGTCTCTTAAGGTATAGTTCATATACTACTCTCCACTTTCTTCACCAGGCTTTGACGAGTTAAGTGTTGATTTGTAACCTTCACTGGCCAACTTTGTCCAGTATGCAAGGTTACATTAGGTTAACTGGTTTCATACGCCTTTGTTTCTCGGGATGAAATATATGGACTGAACACTAAGTCGTAGCATACTTGAACGTTTGTTGCTTACGTTTGCCTGATAATCGTGGTAAACAACCAGAGACGTCGAGTGGCGCTTCAAAACCAGTCACTGACGCAGATGCATTAATTCTTTACCTTCCTCTAGATCTTGAGTCAATGTACAAATGTGTCATGTTTTACGTTGCATAAGACTGATGACTAAGAACTCGAGTTTCAATAGTATTTTATGCTTTATTCCGCCAACTATCTCAATCTAGATTAAGGTCCGGATACGACTATCTGGTTTAACCTTGGGTCTGGAAATGTGTGAGTCCGAATTGGGACTGAAGATCATAGGTAGAGAGACGAAAACTATTCTATTACTCGATCGTTTGACAAGCGAGATAGAAGACAAGTCAACTGGAACACTACTCGATTTATTTCCGATTCCAAATTCAGATCAGTGAAAAAACATGAATAAATAGATGTTTAACGTGGCCACAACGCCAAACAATTAGAAAAATATAATTATGTCGAAACTGGGTATTAGGGTAGAAAAAATAGAGTACTAAATGTTACGTTTAAATTACAATAGCTTTGGAACAGAAACGGGCATGTCAGTGAATCATGCATCAAACTGAAGCTTATGGTTTACAGAATAACGTGGGGACGAAACCAAATGTTTGTATCTCACAATTCTTGAATTACGTGAGATAGTGTCTACCAAGATAACTTTCGGTGTTTGTCGAAGCTTCTTTGTTTCGTTGTTTACATTACTGATAAATATAGAGCATAACTGTCATACAATCTCATCGTAGTGAATATAATTTTTTTGCTCGCCTAAATCAGCTAATATATTGTAAATTAGTATCAGAAAACTTGACCAACACTGATCTCAAATCAAGTCACAGACACTGAACATTGAATTGTCAATTGTTCAAGTACTCCTTCTGAATAAATACAAACCTTGGAAAACTATTAATATCACTTATTTATGTTATTCGAGAATATGTAATCTAGGGTAGAAGATTTATAGACTTTTTAGCATGATAAATGTAAACTATTAAGTAAACACTTAAAAAAGCTCATATTTTCATTTGAACTATGTAACAATTCCAGTCAAAGAAATTAACACATCGATATGTATGACATTATTTCTAGTTTATTGATCACTAATAATCGTGATGGTATATGAATTCGAACAAAATGATCGAATGTACGTACTTTAGCTAGAAGTAAAAACCATCATGTGAATTTCGTCCCATTTTCGGACGTGTCAACTGGAAATGCCTGCACTTCATTATTGATATTCACATTAAGGGTCGGGTACAGTGTCTTTTGCTCAATCCGGTAATTCATTATCCATTGAGCTACAAAGTTCAGATAGCTACTAACTTATTTAACTGGTATAATGTTTACGTTGTTATTGGAAAATATTTTAATTATTCCACAATGGACATTCCGGATGAAATGGCACATGATTCATATATCAACAAAGAGAGATCCGAATTCAGTCCTGATTAACACCAACGAGATAATTAAAATAACCCATAATGTCATTGTATAAGAAAAAGAGAATTCAGCGAAAACAAATTTTTGTCGACGAAATCATTTACTTAAGCTGTACATTCGTATATATAGTTATGTATGAAAAATATATGTCTATAGAAGGATAGAAACTGAATGTTAGTATCTTACAATTCTTGAATTAAGTGAAATAATGTCCACAAAACAACTGTAGTTTGTCACGGCTTTGTTTCTTTGTCCATATAATTTATATTTAGGGTTTCTCTCGTGAAACAGTTGAATGGTTTCCGCGAGATGCATTTTTTCTTTATTTCTTCCCTAAATGAAAGTTGGATCTTTCTTTGCTCTTCAAGCAGTAAAACTCAAATTTACCTACAAAAATATGCAGATGAAAACATTTGATTTATTATTTGCGTTAATTTATAGTCAATATTCAGATTAATACAGATGTGATCGATCATCTAATAAATGCAAGATCACATGAATCACAAATTAATCTACAAGAATACTCGCTTAAAATTCAGTTGTGTTTGATAATAAGAAAGAATTTTTAGAGAAAATCAATCATACTAGGGTTAATCCGATTTTCTAGTTGAAGTTAATACTGATAGTATCTAATGTGACAAAACTATTGTTGTTAGAGAATTGTACTTATAAAAAATAACACCAGAATAGTTATTTCAGAGGATTATTTTCATCATTTTATTTCTCATAAATTTGTTTAATTTATTTTTATGTATTGCCTTAAAATTCGTGTAATTTCATGTTTACTTCATTATATAATTTGTTAAAGTTCTACTAATTGTAATCTTATAACCTGATATTAATTTGTATGGTATTCATAGTAAATCACAGAAGCTAATCAAATACTAAGTATATTTATTTTTGTGTGTGATCAGGACAAAGCTTTGGAAATAATCTTTGATTTTGGTGGAGTTTTGTTCTCTGAGCTGGATGGTTTGGTCGTGGAGCTTTCATCGTTCTTCTGAACGACATCATCAGCACAAACTTCAGATAGAAGTGAAGTGTTTGAATTTCTCCATGTGTCTCAAAGCTTGTTCTGTGCACCTCGACGTTGATTGGTTCTTATTGACCTTAAATTTGTCGTTGTTTACTCCACCTGAACTACAAATCTTCGCCATCATCTCAAAATCTTTGATTTTATTATCAGAATAAGTTTTGTGGAGATTTTAGTAAATTTCACAGGTTGAAATCATGAGTCAGTTGAAGCTAGACCACCATTGAAAACCTGGAAGCACTGGACGGCCGTTTCGTCCTAGTATGGGACTCCTCCGTGAAGTCCCACTCTCCGATTCCTGAAAACAGTATTTATTTTTCTCTTACAAAAGTCATTACTTTTAGGAAGCTCCCCATATATCTAAATTTTGATTATCAGCAATTTTTCATAGCTTCAGTTCTCAACTGCTGTGATAAAAGATCATCTGTTTCTCGATAAATGCTCCCATCTGATAGTAAGAATCAATATATCGATCAGCTGTCATAATTTCCCTCGTTCCATTATAGATTTAGCTTCTTAATCTCAAAATAGTTAGTCCTTTTGATAAATTTAACCGATGCAATTAGGAGATGACGTTTATCAAAACCAAGTGTTGTATTGGCGGATCACGTAGTTCTGATACATTTCTAATAGCATTAATTACTGTGATCGTATCTAAAGATAGCTTTATTCTTAAGCTCGCTCTCGTTAAAGATTGGTCCCCTCTTAATTGTAAAAACTGTCCTTATTACTTTGGATTCTAAATTTAGGAGTTTATCACTAGGCTTTTAGCATGAGGCCCTAAACTTCTAGACATTGGGATGACTCCAACTGGTGACCAAAGTGTGTTTGTGACCTATCCATTCTCGGAATTTTAGAATTCATTTTCATCACTGGTTTGTAATCAGATTTTTCAACTGACTTAGGTGCACTCTACGTCCACCAGTTCGTCTTAAGCACCGTATGTCCACTTTAGCCTTTACTTTTGTAAAAGCACTCCGAACACTTGAAAACAATGAGTAGAACTTCCATGACAAATTTTATAAACGTATAACTATGCTAAGGAATTTTGTTGCTCCTTGTATGGGAGGTTAATGACCATCCAACTCGGTGTTTTAAAATGTTATCAAACATAATCCTGAATAAAACTTCCGCTACGTTGTTCTTAAACGTAAGATGGAACTTTTCAACATTTCATCATGCCTTTTTATTCGATATGCGGTGATCTAGCTTAAAATAAAGGCTGATGGCTTCCTGTGAACGCTAGTTTATGAACCTCTATTTTGATTCTGTCTAATTTTGTGATTCATTATAATTTCATGACCCTATAGATAATTTTCTTGCACTTCCTAAGTAAAATATATAGTATTTAATATCAGCCTTTAATTTACAGAAACTTTTGACGTATTCTGATTGTGACACATAACCTCATCATACTTTTAAAGTAACACTGAATACTTCTATCAAATTAACCTCCGCTGGAATTAGACTGTCATCTGTTTAAGTATAAACAGATTATCCCTAAAACCTTACCCAAGTTTACTAGGATGTCATTTGATCATGAAATTTTATGTTAAAAATTATTTTGATCAAATTCGTCGTTTCACAGTTGTTATGAAGGGATAGTCTACATTTATCAGGGGAATTGTGATTGGGATTGGTCCCATTTATACTAACTAGTAATTTTTAATCTCAATACCCCCAATACAACAAACGAATTTTATTTCAACGAACTACTGAAGACTATTCTCATTATCATGTATATAGTTAAACTGTTTTCTTAGTTGACTGAATATGAAAATAATGATAATTAGTGCATAAATTACATAAACGATTTTCATTGTTTATTACATTGGATAAGTTCTATACACGTTTGGGTAACATTTATAACAATACTGTGACACTGTGTCTATAAACAAATAATCACTGTGTTTCACATCTTTCGTTATTGTATGGTTGTATGCATTAAATTAATTGTTGAAAATTGACGACTTAACAAAAGCTGGTCGATGTTGTTTTACCGAAGTCCAAATGAATTTACATCATTAGAACAGTATTGGTATAAACATGTTTGGATTTATATATATATATATATATATATATATATATATATATATATATATATATATATATATATATATATATATATATAGCACAACAATCTCTTTATGTCCGACAGTACATATATAAATATGCATGCTACCATAATTCGACATCAGTTTTAGTATGTGCTAAACTCTAATTTATACAATAGTTTAATGGATTATTTTCTAGCGGTGAATAATTTATCACGTATATATATATAATGAATATTACCTGTCAGCCATTTATAAACAATGTAGCAGGTCTGATAAAAGTATGTATTGGCTGAAATCGTTCTACACTTTATAGTCAGAACAACAAATGGGTGGAAACATTGGATTTTGTGGAAAGAAAAGAGTCAGTTTATTGGAAATATAATTAATAAGAAGCAAGAGCCTACCAGATAGTCATTAACTTGTTCAATGGGTATAATGTTTATATCTTATTATTACGTATTAATAAAATAATCAAAAGGTACCGAATTCGAGTATAAGTTGAGTATCAAAATTGGAATGGATGAACGAATCTTGATTAGAAGAAAATGCAAGTTCTAAATTTCACTGCTAATCACTCTTTCAACTTTACTTAAAATAAGTGAAGTTTCAAATATATTAGATCAAGATAATACAGTACTAATGTTAACGAATTTTAAAATTCCAAATTTTATGCAGTTTTTATATGTAGTTGTTTGTACAATTAATGTAACTCATTGTATACTTTTTTTTATTAAATGCATATTTTATTACTTTAACTCGTATGCTGCTACATTAGCTTATCAGGAATATATATATAATTCAAACAAAATTATATTACTAATGATATTAATGCATATGTGTATATTAAGAAAAAAGAATTTCACTAATAATATTAGAGAATATTCACGTTTAATATGATACAATTGTTATTCCAATAGTATGTTTAATTATTTATGTGTTAATATCAAGTAATTACTTGAATATTATTATTCATATTGATTGAGATCATGAATCAATTGATGTTAGACCACCGTTGGAAACCTTGAAGCGCTGGACGGCCGCTTCGTCCTAGTATGGGACTCTTCAGCAGTGCGCATCCACGATCCCGCCCCCTGCGAGATTCGAACCCAGGACCTATCAGTCTCGCACCAGGCGCTTAACCAACTAGACCACTGAGCCGGCTTCCAATGGTGTCTCGCCTGGCGCGAGACCGATAGGTCCTGGGTTCGAATCTCGCAGGGAGCGGGGTCGTGGATGGGCACTGCTGAAGAGTCTCATACTAGGACGAAACGGCCGTCCAGTGCTTCAAGGTTTCCAACGGTGGTCTAACATCAATTGATTCATGATCTTAATCAAAAACTTAATAATCTCCACAACCCCTATACTGATATTATTCATATTACCAATCAATATGGTAACTAATGTACATAAAATCTTTGTTTTAATTATATATATTGTATTTATAATATTTGGTTAATCACTTCACATTTATAAGAAGTGATTGTTTATAAATTATATTTCTTTTTTTGTTTTTGTTCTCGGGGTTCGGTGGTGATAGGTCCACGTAATGCTTCCACGAATAAATCACTTTTTTCTTGTGCTATTGGTACATCGTTTATTTGTCTAAGTGAACAAACCTATGAATTAAAAGATAAATCATCAAATTCAACAAATGTACGACTTACATTTAGTGAGTTTCAAGTTGAAGCCTTCAGAAATAATGATGTTTCTAATAATACGTTTACTGGACCAAGTAAGTTAATTAAATTATTTAGAGAAAATTTTTTAAAATTTCATTTATTTCCTTCATTTGTTGCTTTAATTATATATATAATTACTACTTTTATGTACTTAATTATGCCTATTACACCTCGTGGAGGAGCATAGGTGGCCCACCAGCATTCTCCATTCAACTCTGTCCTGGACCATCCTTTCTAGTTCTTTCCAGTTGCTATTCATCCTTTTGATGTCTGTTTGAAATTCACGACACAGTGTGTTCTTCAGCCTCCCACTTTTCAACTTCCCTTCAGGATTCCAAGTTAGCTCTTGCCTCGTGATGCTGTTTAATGATTTCCTCAATGTATGTCCTGTCCACTTCAAGCGTCTTTTTCTATTTTCGTCGTCAGTTGGAAGCTGGTTTGTTCTGTCCTATAGTAGGTTGTTGCTGATGGTATCTTGCGTAGACAATTGTTTGTAAATACTTGCACTTTTTCGATGATAGTTATAGTATTTCTCCAAGTTTCAGCTCCATATGGTAGAACTGTCTTGACGTTTGTATTGAAGATTCTGGCTTTGATTTACTTTTTACGTGCGTACTGTTAAATATCACAGGGCAATGAATATGAACCCAATGTTGATACATATAATTTATTCATCAATAACATGTGAACAAATAAAAAGACTATGCTTCGTTCGAAATGGTAGCTTGTCCATGATGAATTTAAAATCAAGTGGTAAGATATATCAAGAAAATTGAGATACACATTTTATATTGCAAAAATTCCATAAATCTCATAATACATTGGTTACACAAGCCATTTGTTTCTTCTAGTTTAAAAACTTTAGTCAATGTAATTTGGTTTTACTATACAAATTGTCATTTTCTACGTAATTACCATGACCAGTAACTGAAGACGTTGGATGATATGGTTCAAGATAGTTCACAATAATACAAATACATTCACTCTTTGTTCCCCCTGAGATCAAGAGTTTTAGATTATACTGTACCTGTTATTCCACGAGTTCAGTCTTTCTTTTCGAATTTAGTCAGTCAGTCAGCTACAACGTAGGACCTGGCACATATATGCATCGGTCCAAGTCCAATGGACAGCCTTACCGGACACCACTTGAGGTTGCAAAATCAGATGACAGTTCGCCATAAGCTCTGACTCAACTGGTACTTTTCGAGTAAATAGCCTTCGCAATGTCTACTTACTTCTGAGGTACGCCTTCCAATGACAGACACTGCCACAGAATCTCGCGGTCTACCGAGTCAAATGCTGCTTTTAAGTCAAGAAAGACCACCATTGTCGAACGCCGACAAGTATGCCTGTGTTCTAGACCCTGAAGAATGGTGAGTATGTGGTCTATGTCGCCGTGACCAAGTGGTTTAAATCACTGATAGATGTCACTGCTGTTTCCACAGCTGTTTGTATAGCTTTCCAAGCAACATCTGGGTCAGCCTCGTTTCAGAAATACCTAAGTGTTACCTCAGTCGTTCCTGGAACCTACTTTTGGTTTTCTCAGTACTCAACTCAGTTCTAATGGGTCTTTTTAGTGTGGCTTTTCGAATTATTATCCTCTATACCTGATCTCTTTTTATTATCAATAATAATGAAACTACTTGTCCCGATGCAAGTAATATATATATATACATATATATCAGGTTCTATGTTATTTATGACTGACTGATTACTTACCTGTCATTGTTATACATATCACGGTAAATATTGTCACTAGTGCACGGTAATGTTCAAGACATTCCAATCGACTCACTCGGGTTTGTGATCTCAATCCTGATTCACCTTTTTCGTCTTAAATCCCTTGTTTATTGTCAGTGTGTAATAATGGGAAGGCTACAAGTGGACAAACTAAGACATTTTATCAGTTTATGAATAGGCTGATTGTTGAACTGAGCCGTTGTAGGTAGGGATAGGCTACTCGGTTGGGGTTCACGTGGTTAGCATAACCAATGATTAGTGGCGTTGAGTGGTATGGCTTAAAATCGTTCGCAGTGACGTGGATGCATCGGCTCCTTACTTTCCTTCACATTCTAAGTTTCCGAATTCGTCGAATTTTTTCTGTCATTTCGCTGATTTACATATTTTTTCTCGAATCCTATCTTCGATGCATAATCTTTTTTATTATCATCAATAGTATTATTATCTGTATTACTCTGGGATTCGCCATGACAATTTCATCTTGGGATGTGGCAAATTGGACCGATGTATACATGTTCCAGGTTCTACGTCGTATTTGACTGACTGACTGAAATTAATCTCAGTGTTCTGCATGATCTCTGTTTGATGAACTCACCTCCTAATTGGTGTTAAAATTCAAATATCAATCTAACTTGTCGCTACACTGTATTCAAATCTAGTTAGTCATAAGTTCCGATCCCTAAAAGTATGGTCTCAGTTATATGTTCACAGATTGATCCAATTAGCCGTCAGTTAAACAAACTGTTTTAAGTGGACATATAACTTCATTATATCCTCATGGAACACCAATATCAATTTTATATTTACTCTGTAAGGTGGTGGTTGAAGGCGATTTACAGAAAATCATAAATATAGGTGTCTTGCTGATCTGGACTTGTCAGCAAGGTGTACCTGTAATTGTAAGAGAAGTGGTACTCCTTGACTTGTTCGATCTCGTATCGCACACTTTCACGGTCCTGTTTACTTCCTTCAACCACCACTTTACATCATAGCATAGTGCATTCGATGTCAAGTCACGTAGACAAGTGGAAGGATTGCAACTCGTTCACTAGAATTGGATTAGCATTGGAGAAGGACCTGGTATACATGAAAGTGGTCAATGATTAATCAGTTGTAAATATGTACTTTTTATATCAAGAAATTACTTATTAGATTGCTTATATTTTGATGCTGCATTGTTGTAAGAAATAAGCAATGGCGCGTGATCGATTGTAAACCTTATTGATCACACAAGAAGTCGTCAACCATCGCTTACTGGGACACTCATAGATGTATCTAAATACAACCACAACCACACGTCAGTCATTTAACGGTCTTGTGACTGATCTTTGTTTATTCATTCTTAGCTGTTTTTTTCTCCAACCTAATTCTCTATTATTTATTTATTTATTTGAACACATAAATATTGGTACAAGAGAGCGCCAATATATATGCGCCACACAAAACAATGGGAATTCGAAGAGAAGTAGAAAGAAGAAAAAAAAACTAAGGAACGCAAAAGAAAAAGAGAGTAATGACGAAGAGGTACAATCAGAAGAAATCTTTCAGGTAAAGGAGACACAACCACTTTTTATGAAGAAAGTAAAAGAAGGTTACAGCAGGATCGCCACTGGCTTCTATTCTGAGCCATATCTGATAACGTCTCTAGCCACTGTGTAGCACCATCTCTCGGACCCCAACCAGGGAGTCGTGAAGGACCAACACAAGCCAGTCCTTTGCAGCTTTCTTTCATGCCACGACACCATGTCATGCACTGACCACCTCTCCGCTTCTTCCAACCAGTCCCAGAGTCGGCAAATAATGCACGACGTGGAATTCTCTGGGACGACATTCGGAGAACATGTCCAAGCCACCGAAGTCGGTGTTTCAAGATGGTGACACCAATTGAGTTATCATCTCTGTGCCCGAACACACGATGCCGAACCTCTGCATTACTGACATGGTGTTGCCCCTGAATGTCAGCAATCCTTCGGAGACAGCGATGATCGAACACAGAGAGTCGTCTAACGTCCTCAACTCGGAGAGGCCAGGTTTCACAAGCATAGAGCAAAACTGCTCTCACTGACGCGTTGTAGATCCGGCCTTTTACAGCCAGACTAACATCACGAAGGCGCCAAAGGTGGCCCAGATTGGCATAAGCCGCTCTGGCTTTCACTATTCGTGCATTGATCTCATCACTCACACCCCCACCAGCACTTATGCAGCTACCCAGATACACGAACTTCTCAACTACGTCTATCTGCTCACCATCCAGGGTGAGTACAGGATTAGAATCCTGCCAGTCTTGTAGAAGTACTTTGCACTTCGAAGGTGCAAAGCACATACCATACCTACGGACATTGATTGCCAACTGATTAAGTGAGGATTGCATGCCTTGGGCATTATCGCACAGTAAGACAATATCGTCCGCATACTCAAGGTCGAGAAGTCTTTCTCCAGGCAACAGATCCACACCACCATTACTTACATTCATCAGAGCTGTTTCCAGAATGTCATCGATGGCAAAGTTGAAGAGGAATGGTGAGATTGGGCAACCCTGCCTAACCCCACTGCTCGAATGGAACAGTGGAGAAAGGTGGTTGTATGCCCTCACTCTGCCTGAGGTGTTTTTATACAGGGCTTTTAGGATGTTAATAAACTTCTCAGGCACACCCTTCTTCAATAGACAATCCCAGAGAACAGTCCTATCCAACGAATCGAAGGCAGCCCTGATGTCAAGAAACACTACGATTGTTGGCCTTTGAAAAGTATGGCGGTGTTCTAACATTTGGCGGAGGGTGAAGATATGATCAATACATCCTCGACCAGAACGAAACCCAGCCTGCTCCTCGCGAGTCAATCTTTCTCGGGTTTTGAACAACCTACGAAGAATGATGGAAGCCAATAGCTTGGACGCAATCGGAAGTAAACTTATCCCCCGATAGTTGTTACAAGAACGACGTGAACCCTTTTTAAAGATAGGGACAACTATCGACTCATTCCATGACGTTGGTACACTCTCTAGATCCCAAACCTTTGTAAACAACGTCGTCAATTCCTTAGTCAGAAAGTCACCACCATCTTTAAAAAGAGCCGGAGGTAAGTCATCTGGGCCAGGTGATTTGTAACGCTTCAAGAGTTGGAGTTCCTTGCGGACTTCCTCCTCATTTGGTGGATCAGTCGTCACCGGCCATGGAGGGCAGGACAGTCTGACCGATGTTACCGGAGCAGCAGGCCAGTTGAACTGCCCTTCGAAGAATTCTGCCCATCGTCCAAGACGTCGATGGATGTTAGTGATTGGCATCCCATCATCCTCGCAGATTGTTTCACTCACACTAGACTTCTTGCTGCCAGTGGTTCGGATGGATTGGAAGAGCTTCCGGTAGTTACCAGATGCAGCTGCTGCTTCCAGCTCATTAGCACGCATCGACCACCAGGCTTCTCGGTCCTTACGCAAGCTTTGCCCGATTTCCTTACGTAACATCCTTCGTTTATGGTCAAACTCACGGTTACCCGGAGTAGACCGACGGGCTTCAATGAGTTGTAAGGAACCAGAAGAAACCCAGTGCTTAAAAGCGGGACGTTTCGCAAACCCACAACTGACTGTTCCCTCCATTTTCATGGCGTCATGCAATTGCAACCAATGCTCATCTATACTTTTCGGTGGAGTGGTAGCTAGCCTAGAGGCTAGCTCGGTTCGATACCTACTTGCAACAGAAGTTGCAACCAGCTTGCTAACATCAATCCGTTGATGGCGTTCACTTCGTTGTCCACTGAAAAGTAAGGCAAGATTGGCGCAGACCAAGGCATGGTCAGAGTCCAGATAGGTACTCCAAAAGGAGCGGCAGTCTTGTACACAACCACGCCAGCGGTAGCTGATCGCGATGTGATCAATCTGAGTCCAGGCTTGAGATGCAGAGGGAGGACGCCAGGTGGCACATCGGCGATGACTGTGCCGAAAGTTAGTGCTAGCCAGAAACAGGTTGTGGTCTGCGCAAAGTTGCAGTAGACGGTCCCCGTTATCTGACCTGCGACCAACGAGTCCCCATCGGCCACCTAAACGACTCTCTTCTGTGCCTAGACGCCCGACCTGAGCATTTAAGTCTCCGGCTAGTACTACAATATCTGTCGAACGCACTTTCTGGAGAAGAACTGATAACTGGTGGTAAAACTCATCCTTGATTGCATCCGGGCTGCAATCTGTCGGGGCATAGGCGGAGATGACGAAAAGACATCGTTTCTCACGCCGATTTCTTCTCACTTTGATGGAACTCTCTAATCTAACAGCACATAACCGACTGTTATTGGGGATCCATTCGATTAGTGCTGCCTCGGCTTTAGCGCTTAGTGCGACACCAACGCCAGCAAGACCAGATGAAGATGCCACAGGGTCCCCGGATAAGCGCACGTAAAACAAGCTTTTCGAAGCGACATATGGAGAGCAAATTTGTATTACTTCACCAGAGTCTTGAATACGGGTCTCGGATAGACAACACACGTCGATATTAAGACTTTCCAAAGACATAGCCAGCCCTATCTGTTGTCCGACCTGCATAAATGTGCGAACGTTGAAGGCAGCCAGTTTGAATGATGCACGTGGTTTCAGAAAATCTGCTTCAGTCCTCGTATTCAGTGGTAACATACAATTTTCAACCGGACAGTGACTCGAGAACGTTTAGATACAGTCGGAATTCCACCAAAGACTAGCCGCTGTATAAGTATAAAAGAAGGTGAATAATGTGGAAAATAATAATAATAATGATAATAATAACAATAATGACAATAATAGTTGTAATAATAATATTAGTATTAATAATGACAATAATTGAAGTGATCATAATTTGAATCAATTGATTGTTTTTCAAAGCGACAAAAGTAGTTTCCATAGACATAAACAGTTCATCATTTGTGTGTGGGCTGTGATACTGCCCGGGTGCCCAAACCGAAGCAGGTGGTTATCTTAGGGGGCCACTCCCCGAGCCTTTGACCTAAAGGTCTAACCCACAAGGCAGTGGAGCATCGTAAGGAGATGCAGTCCCATGGTAGCCGGTGACCAACGATTGGTTCATACGCCATTCGTTCCCGCAGGATACTGGAGCCCATGTGCACCATTGGTTTGGAATCCGGTTAAAGCGCCGGACATTCGCTTCTCGTCCTCTCATTTTCGTAAACAACAGTAATGCCACGAGAAGGCAATGAGTAGGACTTCCCTGGCAGAGGCTATATACGCGTGGCCGTGTGAGAGTATTTCGAGAGAGAGAGCGGACTCTCCCCACTCTCGGCCGTACCAGGGCATTCAGGGGTGCAACCTAATTCTCTACTTCAGTTCATATCACATGTCGAGGTATATGACATTGTATCTTGTAGTGCGACTTTACAACCTCATCGACTAGTTCATCCTATTTCTCTAAAACGTTACTAATCTAGTCTTTATTCATTTAGTGACTATGGTGTTGTCATAATATATAATTGTCTCCCACCTTTCAACATTTATGCTCGGTATGCATAAAGTAACACAAGAACAAACTTATTATTTTGTGTAGTATAAGGAAAGAAGGTTACATTGAGTTTAATTATATAGACAATATTGAAGATCTATTTTTCCCCATCAGTTATAGCCAATTATAATATTCGTGTTATAAGAGAAGAGTTTATCATACCTAACAAAAGAAACTTAAGACAAATAGATACCAGTTTTACGGGATAAGTAAAAATTTACAGGTTGGCTACTGGCAACTTCAATATAGCATTTTATCCATATGACTTAAAAGTCTTTTCTTTTCAGGGCATTTATGTGATCATAAATAGTTTCTCGACAATCGCATCCATTTCAGAAACTTTTTCTTCATCACTGAGCAATGATGATGACTGTATGACAGTTTCAAAGCACGTTTCTCTGTTTTAGTGCACAAAATATTATGCTAGATGTGATTCTGTCATTGCATCATCTAGCATTTCTTTGTATTCTTTCTCTACTACTTCACGTCCACAATCGTAGATAAACGTTTTTATTCTTACAACCTAATGTATTAATAATTGTATATATTCCCTTCACGGTCAACATTTATTTTAGCGGAATGTGCCCTGACCTTAATGTCGCTGTCTTAACCTGAATTATTTCGTTCATGGAATTAAAATCTAACTGAAAATTGTCTTTATGTTTATTGTAAAACGTTTACTCAAACTAACAACCCCTTATGTAAGATATTTACATCAAATGCATCAATAATTATTAATTTTTAACATTTTACCTCTAGCTTCCTCTTGTGCTGCCGATTATGTACCGACTAAAGTGATTCCTATTGTTGTCGGCGTTTTATTGGTGGTTATGATAGCGGCTGCTTTAATCGCTTTTATTATCAGTAGTCGACGCCGTCAAATTGGTTATGAAGAGATATAATTTGTGAAAATAAAGTCGGCCTAACATACAGGTCTTATAGCTAATGAATCAAACTCTCAGATCTGATAATCTTAGCATGATTTAGCTATTGTTATGCTATTTTTTCATTTACATTGCTTTTGAACCTATTTCTCTATTTCATCAATAATTACTGCTTTTATATATTATTTATGTATACCATTAAACCCTAAAATTTTATATTTCATTTTTGGTGCTCATTTCATTTTTTTACACGCATTTCGGTCTTATGTCTTGATGGTGTTTTTTAGATTCAGGTTGTTTTTCACTTGATGATTTACAATATATTGTCATTGTTCGTTCAGTAAATTGTATTTTGTAATGTAAGTAGAGGATAATGTTAGTATGCGTAGAGTGTGGTATCATATTGTATGAATTCAATTACAATTTAAACATGATTATAGATACCTGCCTCATTTTTTCAATACACATTGTATGCAAATTGATTCACTATTCTGTAAACTGAGTCTTTCATCGTTATTTAGCAGTTTACTGCTTACAGTTTTAGGCTCCATCTGTGTTTCTACTGTTAATTTTAGAACTCCTAACTGAGCAATAATAATAAACGGACGCAATAGGGATTGCTGTTTCTTGTAATCACGAATGCAGTGTTTCTGTATTTCTCATGCGTAAGCTCCACTCCCCGACGATATCTCGCTTTTTCATCATGCAAATTGGTAGCTCATTGATTAGAAGCACTAGTATATTATGGTTTTGTTTGGTTAATGAAAGGGATGGATCTAGTGTTTAGACTGGTTTTTACTTGCCACCAAGAAGTATGTACCAATTTGAGGGGACTGGTGTCTCTGTGATTGGAGCTCGCATCACACAGTATTAGCCACGAGAGTTAATAAACAAACATCACCTGAATCACTACTTGACCACTGTTGGTGCCTCACTCCTGTTAGGAGATATTTGTAGCCCGATATGCTCAGTATTAAGGGTTTTGACTATGACTGGGTGATATGTGCTCGAACATCTTGTGACCGAAGACAAGTTTCGAGACGTCAGCTACCTGGGAACCTACGATGACAATTTCCTGATTACTAACAACCAAAACTGGACTAATTGTTCGGGACTACTATCGCTTGGTCTAACTATTCTTTTAATCCTTTGCTGAAAGTGCCAGCTGCTGTGGAAGTGATTATCGAGACGGCTGTAGTTTGTGTAACTATCGGACGGAGAATTAGTGGTTATCATTGTATAATTATCAGACATTTAACTTATTATACTCTTATATTCTCCAGATTGTAATCTTACTGCTGGGGCACAGGTTGTTTTATTTTTTTATCTTTCTTGAGTTATTCCTAACTAATCATTGGCATTTAACTTGTGCGATAGTTCTGCAAACAGTTACGTATTTATGTCCATGTATTCGGGAAATTGCTCTATATTTTTATGTGAGTTGATTCATTGAACTAGATTGTTACACAATATGGGATGTATCTGCTTAGTGACTCCGTCTTCTAATTGGAAACGGTTGTAAGGAACTCGAGGGTCAGTAGTTGTTAAGGTATGAACTGTTGTTACTTGGTCAATGGTTCTACGCGCAACGCAGTTGCAAATGTGTAGAATGATTATCTGGCCCTGTCTTACGTAACCCGATCAGGAATTGATAAAGCCAGAAGTTTTCTACTTTTCCAAAGTACAACACCAACCCCGATGGTATGAAAGACGTCCTAGTGCTACTTGCTCGTTTACATTTGTCATTCTCACATATTTTCCGTCCGTCATTAGTAACACCCGTAGGATAGTGGTTTTGTTTTACTCTCTAACTATTCGGGCTCTCGCACTCCTATCGTTATGAACCTCGTCTTATCACTGAACAATGGGGCTTCGATGCCTAAATTCTGAGATAAATCTTGAAGAAAACACTTTATTTGCGCGAAACGTGAACTTTATATTTACGGAGTAGGAATTCATCACCTGCTTTTGCTTATTTAGTCAACCTTGTTTCGGTTTGTGCACCTGGGTAGTATTCCAGTGCTCACGCAAGTCGAACAATGAAATGTGGTGCATATCTATTTGATAACTCCTTGCACCAATGTTTATGTAGTTAAATAAATAAATATATATTTAGTCAGCAAAGAATCCTATAGGTTATCGCTGTTAGTTGTGAAAGGCGACTAATGAGTGAGAGGACCGTCACCAGTGTTATGATAACCTACAGTTGTTTCGATTAATTGGGGGCTGAAAAAGGAATAATCAGTGAAAATAATATTGCAGAAGTCAAGTCATTAAAACACTATCTCGAAAATCGCAGAAGTATTCAGGCAGTCTTCAGCTGTATTGCAGTTGACAGTGACTAAACTACTCTGACGGATCACTAATTTTAGCTCTTAAGGCCATATGAGAACCGAGGAGTTCGTAGCAATACAGAAACCTGATAGTGCTGAAAGCTTCTGACTTTTTTGGGAATTTTCGTCCTGATGGTTATATTAGTGACTAGGCACACTTTACAACATTTTGTATAATGATGGTTTTCACAGGCAGTTGATTTCGGATTGTGATGAATGTAGAACGACAGTATAAAACAGATTTTTCATCCTGCCTCGATATTCCTTAGCAATGAAAAAATAAAGACACTTGTTTTCTGAAATCACATGGGCTATCTTGAGACAACTAAGTTGTATCAGAAGATCCTCTTTTCAAAACTCAGTCGCAGAAGGTTTACGATGATATAGGATTTCATATCACTTGTGCCGGAGTTTATTTTATTGAAAAGTTCCCGGAACAGTTAGAAAATAGGTCGAATATTGTTTAGTGGGAGGATAGACATGGAGTATCATGAAAAGCACCGTAATGGATCTCCGTATCAAACATATTTTTTCACGCTCTTCCAGGAACAGCGTAGTTCCTTGAGGTAAAAACCAAACTGAAATGCTGCTGAATGTACCAATCTCAAGATTTAGGGTAATTGGAAAAGCTCGTTTTTCTAATATTCTTCTAAATTTCGAACGTAATCACTTTAATTGCTCGTAAGTTTAAATTTTTAACAGCAGTCACTAGACAGCGACTGGGGTGTGCCCTGCCTTCTTTTTACAGTTTTTGAGGAGAATATAGTGGTATTTAGGTGATCAGATTGTTTGTGAGATGGGTTTCTATGCTTGTTTGTCGTCCAGTGTCACAGGTGTGTTGTGACTTACTTTTATCAACAGAGCGCGATTGGTGTAATGGAAACAATTATTATTATAACCAATTGTACCAAGGATTGTTTTACTGTACTTGTTTGTTTAACTGTACCATGAAAATACATTGTTCCGATGACTGTGACCTTGCACGCATTCCGTTACGCTCAGTAACCACACTTGTAACCGGGCACGATCCCGGCATTCTTTCGATAATACGAGATCGCCAACAAATGTATCTCGACTACAGCTACCAACTGCCTTCTAATATTTAGCCTACGGGGGATCTTATCGGCTAACTGGCACGTAGTCTTCCTGTAGTGGTGATCTTAGGCAAACGTAACTCGACGCCACACTACAGGTGCCACTCCTAGCCTAACGTCACTATACTTGGCCTTGATAATTCGACTGAAGAAGTTATTTCCTTATCAGTGTGTGACGGCATTAGACTTATGGACTATCTTTGAAATAGGCACTTTGTTTGTGAATACATGTTGAGATTTTTCCTGGGTTGGTGAGGGTCTTTTCTCTTCGCTGTACTGACTGTTTGTCTACCTTGGTCTTTGTGATTTTTCGAGGGGGAAAAGGTGGTGGGACTACATACCGGATGAACTTGCAGTTTTTATCTACCATGGTGGGATATCTGTATCAATGGATATTTTTAAGAGTCTCTGGGCACCTGATCTCAGTTGAAGTGTTATACAGCGTCAACTGTTCACTTTAAAATGTACTCACAGAATAATATATTACACTCTCTGGAATGTTTATTGAGAACGCATTGATAATGGGCGCACACTGATTATCACAACACACGGTTAGTGATGACAAAGGTCATATGGAAAGTAATATTCAAGTCTCTAGACTCGGTCATAAAAATTCAACGTTGTACTGAGCGTGTATGCTGCATATGCTTGTGTATTTTTGGTGGGAATCGTAAAACCACCTACGGAATGGGCCCTCTGTTATGGAATATCGTCTCAAAAGGGCGCGAGAAAATTGGCGACTACTAAATAAGGGAGACTGCCAAAGAAGCGACAATCAAAAGGAAAGATATTACTACGCGTGGGCACTTAAATAAGGAATAGCAGTTTGAGTGGCATAAAATATGCTCTCTTCCCCCTCTGTCACTTCGCGTTAAGATCAGTCAAAAGAAATAGTTTTCGAAATATTTAATGAAGAGTGTGCTTCCAAAACATACTGTGATCCTTCGAATTGATAACAAATTATTTTACTTATTACCTTATTCGTGTGATCTCTTATAAATCGGTTTCGAACTACTAAGGGATAGTCAGTTTAGCGGAGTGTTTCGAAAGTGTTTGAGAAGTGCGTGGTGAATTTCATATTGAATAAGTTTGAAATTCTAGGAGCACGCCTTTGTTTCAGAACTAAAATATTATCTCAGCATTCTTCATTAGGAGTATTCTCGAAAACATTGTCATTTGTGTTTCACATCACTAGCTTGTGGTTGGTGAGCTGAGTCTGAAGACAAAGAAGCACTGGACATCTGAGGAAACAGCATTACAAAAGTTCAATACAGTCTTCTTTTGACATACTGTGACACTCAAACACTTCAAGAGTGCTTTCGGAAGCAGGTTTCGAGCCTTACAAGATTTATTCAAAGAAGAAACCACTATTTAGGGACAATTGGAAAGGGATGAAAGTAGCATTAACCTTTTATTTTCTTAGCTTGCATAATTGGCCTTACTCAGCAAGTAATATCTTATTTGTTACATCTCGCTGATGATGTGAAACTTTGGAGAGACGTTTGCAACGAGGACGAATAACGTAAGGAAAACCTGACTCGACTTCAAAGTTAGGTAGATAACAAAGGACTTACACTTAACACTTCAAAATACAAAGCAGTCCATGTAAGACATGCAGCAGACTACGCATAAAACTCAAGTAATTACTCTCTGGAAGTATCTCAAGTTGAACAAGACTTGAGAGTGTTGGTACCCTATGATCTGAAGTCTTATACTAACTACGACAAAAATGTCTTTCCAGCAAATCTTGAACTAGTCATGTTGAAGTGCATTTTTGGTCAGTTTGACGGCAGGACGTTCCACTTAATCTTTAACTGCGTGAAAACACAGTGTTTCTTCTGTCACTTCAAAAGTATGAGGATGAATTGGAACTGATTCATAGGTGGGTCACGAAATCGGTTCGGGAACTCAAATTCGTGCCTTATATAAAAGGCTTCAAATATCCAGGCCTTTGTCCATTACAGTGTTCAAGTCTCGTAGGTGACCTGGAGACGACTTATTGTATCGTAAGAGCTCCCAGTCATCTCAGTCCCAACACAAACTAAAGGGGTAAGACCCGAAAACTGGA